ACGTGACATGGGGGCGTGGCAGCATCGGCGATTCTATTTTTTGATTCAATAATCAAGATTGAGCATGAATTTAGATCGATTTCGATTTTAAAATCGAAATTGTGACACCCTTAGTCACTAGCTCTATTGAGTACGTGTCTGAGGCCCCGTTTACACTAGTGCGTTTTAGTTTGAAAACGCATAAGTTTTGCTACGGTTACGCCATCCGTCCACACTACGCCGGAGTTCTCGAGCGCCGAAAATGGAGCTTTTTGAAAATGCTGGAGAGGCCGTTTTCATTCTAAAACGCTGCTGCTCCGTCTCAGTGTGGATGGGGAAAGACGGAGACATCTGAAAACGGAGGCGGGGCTGCAAACGTTCGCCTATCTGATTGGGGCTTTTCCTCAATATTAAGTAGCCTAACACACAGTTCAGTCTCGCATCCTCTTCTTGTAAGTTAAGACTTCGCAAGTTTGATCAAGGCTGCAGTCTCCCCCTTCTCAGTTTGATATGGAAAACATACCGAGGACACGGGTAAATCTGCAAAGGGAACAGTGTACTTTATAACTTCATTCACATCACCTTGGCTACGTTGTTTCACTTTCTCAACAATAAAATGTAAACATGATTTAAGGAACTGCCTATTTTCTTTTTAATATTAGCAACTTAACAGACAGCAGAAATGTTGAGGCGTCGTGCTGCATATATGAGCGTCATCTTCACTGTGTGGATATTTATAACAAAACGGAGCCGATAACAACTGCCTCCTTTCAATTTCAGTGAAAATACGAAACGCACCCTCTCTTTTGCTGAATATCAGTTTTAATAATCGATAATTATAAAAGTATAACATACAATAAGTTTATACATTGTAGGAAATAAAGGCAAGCGATCAGTCAATGTACCTGGATTAATCATTAACTTATCTTTGCACTTAACCAAAACATGTTACCCGTGAACAAGTAACTTAATAGATTACAATGATCAAAGTCAGGGAATTGGCCTATGTCGTTAGATAAAGACAACAACATGAATGAAATATCACGTTTAGCAAATATAGCGAGATTAGATCCAGCGGGAGATGCTTGATGAGCAGCCCGACAAGCAGAGCTCTCATCTGGGTAGAAATGCTGGAGCGCTTGCCCGAGAGTGTGTGTGTGGTCACGTGATGTGCGTTTTCAGCGTTTTGGTGTGGACGGAGAGCAGTTCAGAAACGCTGGGTAAAACGCGAGTGTGGACGCGGATCGTTTTCATTCTACAACGCCGTTTTAAAACTAAAACGCACTAGTGTAAACGGGGCCTGAGACAGCACGGAGCTAAAGAGCTTTTCCCATGCTTTGCTCTGATTGGTTGAAGTTTCTACACAGCCTGATGGATTTAGTTTTCCTGCACAATGTTTTGAATGTAGTTTTTCTGTGGTACAAAATCTGTCGCTGGGGCGGTACCTTTTTAAAAAGGTACTTTTTTGTTCCTTTAGGTCCTTAAAGGTACCTAATAATACCTAAATTGTACAAATTTGTACCTCATAGTACCTTAAAGGTGCACAAGTGAGCCTTGATGGTGAAAAAGTGTACCACAAAGCTACTAACGTGCAGCTGTTAAGTACAAAAGTGAACCTTTTGAAAAGGTACTGCCCCATAAGCAGTTTTCGTAAATTTTTGTGTAGATTATGTCGTTTTTCGGTACAACATTGTGGATTATGTTACGTCTTCTATTCTGTGAGAAACATTGTGAGTAATGTAGCGTTTCTGCATAATATCATGGATAACATAGTTATGTACATTATTGAGAATGATTTATTTTTCAAGACCAGGTGCAAATGCAAATGCAAAGAACATCATGGGATATGTAGTTTTTGAGTATGGCATCATGGATAATGTTTTTTTTACTGCATATTCATTCATTTATTCATTCATTCATTCCAGGTGCAAACCAGTACTGGGAAACATCCATACACTCTCATTCACACACAAACACTACGGCCACTTTTAGTTTATCCAATTCACCTATAGCGCATGTGTTGGGACTGTGGGAGAAACCAGAGCACCCGGAGGAAACCCACACCAACACGGGGAGATCATGCAAACTCCACACAGAAATGGCAACTGGCCCAGCCAGGACTCGAACCAGTGAGCTTCTTGCTGTGAGGTGGCAGTGCAAACCACTAGGCTTGGGCGGTATTGCGGTATTATGGTATACCGCGGGATCTAAAAATAGCAACGGTGTCAGTTTCAATACCGTTATACCGTCATAAAATATTAAATATCCTTTATTTAATGCCTACAAAAATGTTTGTGTGGTTGTCATCCCGGGACAGTGTGGAGGAGAGAGGGAGAGGAAGAGGGAGGGGGAGAGAAGGGGAGGGGGAGAGGTGACAAGTCCAAAGTGACCTGCAGTTTGGCAGTTTCGACTGAACAGAAGGGAGACATGGTTAATATGAACGAGAGGTCTGCATTAGAGCTGAAGATCTTTACCCGAACCCGGCGAGACCCGAAAAAATCCAAATCCCTGCATTAAAATCCATCCCTGCAAAGGTGAAAAAAATGATGACGAAGTAGTAAAAAAAGTGAATTTTGACGGCGGTCAAGCCAGTCACTAGTTCAGAAGGAGCGGTTATTCCAGCCGCAGGTATTTCGGCGGTCGCTCATACACTGCGTATTACGGTAGAGCCCTAAACCGCAAGCTGACAGGTAAAAAGACGAGGCCACTCGCTACACTGAAACTACAGTCATGGAAAATTAAATGGATGTTCCTGACTGGTAGAAGATGAACAAACAATCCTACCGAAAACTTGCAAAATCAGCCGGATCAGAACTCGGCATCTCGACCTGTAGCCGCAGGAAAGGGTGTTCAGTTCTGCTGGACCCCGTGAGCGCAGGACTGCGCTAAAGCCAGTGGATTTAATAATGTTCCTCCACAAACACACGTAGCCTAATCTTGGTGAGTAAAGGGTTTTTCAATTATAAATAAATATTAATTAAACCATATAATCATAATGTAGTCAGAGTATACAGGCTAATGGTGGCATTATTATTTTAATATTCAGCTTCACCGCTGCCCTAATGCCAGATTGTGAAGAGAAGTAGAGAAACAAATCTTGCACAGCCTTTATCTTAATTTCGTTATTGCCAAGATACTCGTCATCATTTAGAGTTTATTTTAATTTGATTTTTTAAGCAAGATTTCTTTTCATTGGTGTGTTGGCCAATTTAATGACTAAGTGTTAGAGTGCTGAGATGTTACGATGTTACAGAGGACTTATTTTATTTCTTTGTTCCAACTTCCAAGTGGCCTATAGTCTACGTTTGTTACGAATAAATGATGTTAAAACATATAAATGACTCATTCTTGAAAAAAATGCATTAGAGCTGTGTGCATGAGCACATTTGAATAATGTCGGGCTGTAAACGGGTTCGCGCTTTATAAAGCTGTCAATCAAAATGTACCTGTCGGACTCGGGACCTATCGGGTATAATTTTTATGGCCCGATTACAGCTCTCTGCATTCCCGCTGCTGTTCCGCGGGAGCCGGCCAGATTTCTTACGGTGTGGGAGTAAATTTCTGAATAAATCGTGGGAGAGATCTCTCTCTCTCTCTCTCTCTGCCTAAGGTCGCAAATAAGGTATTCAGTTTCTGAATGGTTTAGGCTCAAGCCAACAGTTTGGTGACGCTGTCAGAGCCTTACGTCATAATTTTTTTTTATTACGCCGGTAATACGGGATACCGGGGTAAAATATGGAGGCGGTTTGACGGTATCAAAATTTGGATACCGCCCAAGCCTACTAACCACTGAGCCACCATGTCACCGTTTTTATGCATATATTGTGGGTAATGTAGTTTTTCTGGCAACATGGTGTATAGTGACGTTTTCAAGCAAAATATGGTGGAAAATGCAGTTTTTACACGCAACATCATGAAAAATTTAGATTTTCTTTGTAACATTGTAGAAAATGTAGTTTTTCTGCACAGCATTATGGATAATGTAGTTTTTCTGCACAAGTTCCCCTGTTAAACATGAGCTTTAAGTAGAAACAATGTGACCAGATGAGTGGAATTAAAGCATATAAAATTGAATAACCTCAAATCTCACTACAGGTCGATCTTTAAAGATTTATCAAGCTATTGTATATTGTATAAAAAAATAATCAATATTCCACATAAAAAAAATGAACGTGTTTTTTTTCCCGAATCCTCTACAAGTTGAACCTTGATGATCATAACTGCATTATGAAATGTAAACACTAAAATTAAAATCACACACTTGACCTTTCATTTCACCAGGTGCTCTCTTAATATTATAAGCTACTCATCCCGGCACTGAATCACCCATAAATGCTTGTTATTTTGTTACTTAGCTGCTGATAAATGCCTTAATTGGTCACTCCAATAGACTCAAATGTTTATTTCAATGTTTTTACAAACATGTCGTGAGCAGATGAACAGCACTCAAGCGTTTAACGTTCAATTCCGTATTCAAGAGCACTAAATGCACAGTGATTCATACGCGCTGAAGAATCAGGAAGAATGAAGGATTCAGCTGGAAGGGCATCAGCTGCGTAAAACATATGCTGGAATAGTTGGCGGTTCATTCCATTGTAGCTACCCCTAATAAATAAAGGACTAAGCCGAAGGAAAATGAATTAATGAAATATACGTATTTATACAAAGACAGGATACTTCAGCTTTGAAACACAAATTAAAATCATGCGGTATATCTAGTCCAGTGGTGCTCAACCTTGTTCCTGGAGATCTAGCTTCCTGCATAGTTCTGCTCCTACCCTGATCAAACACACCTGAACTAATTAACTAGGACCTGAAAAGCACTTGATAATTACAGGCAGGTGTGTTTGAAGTCGGATGCAACTGAAATCTGCAGGAAGGCAGATCTCCAGGAACAGGGTTGGCCACCCCTGATCCAGTATATATTGTAGTGGGAATAGCAGGGCAACATTGAATCCTAGCAATAGCAAAACCACCAAACTAACTTCACACTTCATCATCAATGATCAGAGAGCTCGTACCGTCTGAAGACACTGTTACACTGGTGATCCGGAGGTGTGGATTGGGGATTGGTGCAGGACACACGTCTTTCCCCAGCTCTGGGACCTCAGGCAGTGTGAACACGATCTCATATCGGTGCTGCGTTTTCAGAAAGCCCACCTGAGGACATAGAGAGAAGTGGTGTGGTAATGAATGTTACCTTTTATGCACAGTATCGTGGATAACGTTTTTTTTTTTTTTTTGCACAACATGACAATGTCATTTTTCTACACAAAATAGAGACGGAAAAGAGTAATGTGGTTATGACTGAATATGTTTACCTTGATACCAATTCTCGGATTTTATACGATTAAGACAATACTGTGATTGAGAGTCGACTATGTAAAAGGGTCTCAAACTCGCAGCCCGCGATAGTTTGTGGCCTCCGCCTTAATTTGAAAGTTTATTGTTGGTGCGGCCTGCGAGTTTGATATGAACGGCACTTTACAGTTTTGTGTGTGGAGCTGAACAAACCCACCAATCACGGTGGGGTATATAGCTTTCGGGGGGTGGGAGATCAGCTGTTCTTGAGGCAGGCAGAGAAACATTTCCCAGTGAGTGAAAGTTACAGCAGTGTTATATATATACAGTTGTAGTCAGAATTATTAGCCTCCTTCAAATTTTTTTCTTCTTTTTTGAATATTTTCCAAATGATGTTTAACAGAGCAAGGTAATGTTCACAGTATGTCTGATAATATTTTTTCTTCTGGAAAAAGTCTTATTTGTTTTATTTCGGCTAGAATAAAAGCAGTTTTAAATTTTTTAAACACCATTTTAAGGTCAATATTATAAGCCCCTTTAAGCTGTATTTTTTCTCGATAGACTACAGAACAAACCATCATTGTACAATAACTTGCCTAATTACCCTAACCTGCCTAGTTACCTTAATTAAACTGTATAGAAGTGTCTTAAAAAATATCTAGTAAAATATTATTTACCGTCATCATGGTAAAGAGAAAATAAATCCATTATTAGAGATGAGTTATTAAGACTATTATATTTAGAAATCTGTTGAAAAAAATCTGCTCTCTGTTAAACAGAAATTTAAGAAAAAATAAACAAGCGGTCTAATAATTCAGGGGGGCTAATAATTCTGACTTCAACTGTGTATATATATATATATATATATATATATATAAATATTTATAAAACCCCAGCCAAACTAAAACAAATAGGACTTTTCTTGAAGAAAGAAATCTAATACTGTGAAAATGTTCTTGTGCCATTAAACATGACATCAATTTAAAATAAATATTAAAAGCATCAGCAAAACAATGATCATTGGTATTTTTACTAACTCCCAATAACAAATGTGAAAATATATTGCTATCAAAAAGTACTGGAAAATGCATTAAGTATCGGGATATTTTATTTTACCATGTTTTTATTTTATTTTGTTTGCAGTTTTTTACACATTGAAATACAGCCTTTTACATTCATACAAAATCATTAACGAGCACAACATTGCTGCATTTACTAAATATAACAATAAAAAAAAATAAAAAAATTTCGTCACCGGTATTGGTTAGTGGTCATCCATTCACAAGTGGCTTTTATCATTGTACTGAATACAAACTTTCAGGGTCTTAATGTAAAGTGTTACCAAGGATACTGATGTTGAAATAATAATAATGAATTCTACATTTAATCAGGAGAAGACTATAAAAATCTATTAAAATAAATCTATTATGATCCACTGATAAACTCCAAAAACATCAGTCAGATTAACTGTTCATCTTTCTATGAAATGTAACTTTTATGTTATTCTGACAGCCAAAAGCAACAAGGAGAGCTGAAAAAAGTGGAAAAGCCGGTGACAGAAGTGATGCCAGGAAACTATCAGACTGCATCTGTGTCTCCGTGATGGATGACAGAATCCAATAATGTCTTATCAGTGCAGAGTCTCATAAAAATACACAATAATCAAACAGATGAGAGACGGTCCCGAAGTCCAGCTGGTTATTTACTGCACTGCTGCCTCCATTTATAGACAAAAACATGTAATATAAGAAAAATAAAAACTAAATTTGACCTCCAAACCAAACGGCAATGTTATTTAACCTTAATCAGAACCACAAAAACTGGCAAATTATGCCATAATTACAAGACAAACTACTTCTGTCAAAACATCGCCTCAGTGATCATCATTTAGAAATAAAGAAAATACAGGGCATTTTAACAATATAAATCGAATATAAATCGTTATGTCCCTCCCTCACACCTCTGCCATTCTTGTTCATAGTTTAGTCACGTGCCGTTTAGATTACTGTAATTCCCTTCTGTTTGGCCTCCCTAAAAAACTGGTACAAAACGCTGCAGCCCGCATTATCACAAAAACTCCCTCTATCTGTCACATCACACCCATTCTGCAACAGCTTCACTGGCTTCCCATCTCTTTCAGAATTAATTATAAAATACTTCTTCTCACTTTTGAAGCCATCCACAATCTCGCTCCTCCATACCTTGCTAATCTTGTTCATATCGCCACACCTTCTCGAACACTCAGGTCTTCTTCTTCCATTCACCTCACTGTTCGCTCTGTCCGCCTTGTCACCATGGGGAGCAGATCCTTCAGTCACTCTGCTCCTCAGCTTTGGAATTCACTCCCTCCTGATCTCCGTCATTTAGACACTCTTTCTCAATTTAAATTCAAACTCAAAACACATCTGTTTAGAACAGCTTATTCTCTTTAACCCGACTGCATTTTTAAAGTTCTAACTGTCCTGTACGGTGACCTTGTGTGTTATGAAAGGCACCTTTGAATAAAATGCATTATTATTATTTTTAGGGCTTTTGAACAAGAAATATATGTAAACACTGTAACATGAATCAAATAAAGGATCAGAAACACTTTCTTCATTCTGACACAAACACTCACTGACAAGAAAATAATTGCCCCGCCATTTTAAACATTTAATTAATGGTTCTTTAATCTAAATCAGGGGTTTTCAAACTGGTGGGCCACAAGAGAGCGATAGTGGGTCTGCGAAAAACTTGGCAGAAACAAAAAATGATTTACGAGATTTTTTTTCCAATCCAAAAAATTATGAATGACTACACATTAATAATCTATATATAGTTTTATGATTTATATAAGTGGATACTTAATTGTAATTTGTTTATCCCAAAATCCTTAGCGCTCTTTAAGGTTTTGCATACAGTTGAATAGAGCAATTAGCGGCTGTAAGTGCAGTATGTAATGTAATGTAATGTGTGTTTTTATATAGTGCATTTATTGTGTATGGCCATACACCCAAAGCGCTTCACAATCATGAGGGGGGTCTCTTCACACCACCACCAGTGTGCAGCATCTACTTGGATGATGCGACGGCAGCCACAGGACAACGGCGCCAGTGCGCTCACCACACACCAGCTATTGGTAGAGTGGAGAGACAGTGATAGAGCCAATTCAGTGGAAGGGGATGATTGGGAGGCCATGATCGTAAGGGCTGATGGAGGGACTTTGGCCAGGACACCGGGGTTTACACCCCTGCTCTTTTACGAGAAGTGCCATGGGATTTTTAATGACCACATAGAGTCAGGACCTCGGTTTTAACATCTCATCCGAAAGACAGTACAGTACAAATGATGGAAAGATTTTTAAAGAATCCCGCTCCCGCAAGCAGTTCATGCAAATCTGACCTGGCGAGCGTTAAGGCAAAAACCAGAAAATATGACAAACCTTACATTGCGTTTGGTTTTACCTGTATGTTAAAGCAGGGAGTCGATACACCCCAGTGTGTTCATTGTCAAGAGATTAGCCGCATTTCCACTATCGGGCCAGTGCGAGCCAGGGCTTTAATCGGGCCGGGTCGGGCCAATAGCCCGGGAGGTTGAGAAATGAGGCTGAAATCATGTTGCGTTTCCACTGTGGGGCTAATAGCTCACAGCGCGTCACGCAAACACCGCCCACAGAACGTCCCCGAATCAAACGTCACACAACCCGCCCACTTCAGCGGGAATCAGGACAGGCAGATAAAGCACACCATAGAATCAACACGAAACGAAACCATTAAAATGAAGACAACCGAAACAAACAAACGACACGTTACTGTACAGCAGTACATGAAATGTCTATACGCACAGACCTGTGTATTTCCATTCATTACATTTGGAGGGAGGGACCCAAGAGAGCGCACACATCCATAATATAAAGCCACAGAAATTCTCCTTTATAACTCGATATGGCATGTATTTTATAACATCCTCGTTTTGATAGAAGTGTTAAGTGTTTCAGCATAAGAGCGAGTAGCCTAATAAAATATAGCCATATTTGTTGCGCTCAGCAGCTATTCACTAAAGCTCTTCATTTAAAGATTCATTTATAAATTTAACCACGTCATATAAAAACTTAAACACTTGTTTGAGGATATAGAACACATTTTGTGTTTGGGCTTTCCCCCTTGCGTTTAAAGCAGCGAGCGCTGCGCAGGACTGAGTGACAGAAAAAAAGGTATAGGCTATTCTGCTTTCACTCACCGAAATAATGCTCTGTTTGCGCGATTTGATTAATATCATCGTATCCAAATACTTTATAAATATTTACTTGTATAAATAAGTATACTTTATATAAATATTATTGTTTTTAGAAAATATCAAAAATCTTTTTTTCAGACAGGTCTTTGTAAAATGAAAGTTAGGCTATATGTGGGTTTAAAACGGTTTGATTTATGTATTGTATACAGGCTAGCTACATTGTTATAGCTAGCTTTTGTTTATTTTATATTGGTTAATTCATTTAATGTGATTTTATATCTGATATTTGTAATTCTTTAAATTATATTTCAATAAAGCTTAGGCTATTTTATCAAGATATGACACTATATTGTTTAAAGTCTAGGAAAGTGGGCACGTAATTTGTTAAGTTTTATGTCTTTCTGTTGTATTTATATTGTGTATTATCTCCAAAATTAATAAAGAAAAAAGCCGCTCGCGGCATCAACAGAGCTGTGAAGGGAGCGCTCTTGCCCGGTCTCATACACACATACAGGCATCTAAACAAGCACAAACAAACATTTTAAACTTGACAAAAACTCTCGAAAACCTTTACTGTCTGCTGTGTCTTTAATATGGTGTAAAGATTATTATGCGCTATTGAAACATAAAGGAGGACGCAGCAA